TTGTAATCTGGTCTCTTGGTATGGACGATAATTGTACGTTTCGGGTATTCCGTTAACTTCTTGAACGGGCCAACAGCCGCTCTTTCCGAGACCGTTTTCCACAAGTAATAGACAACACCGCCAGTACAACAGCCACCTGCTGATGTGCGCGGACGACCAGTTCGCTGAAAGTCATTAACACTGCTCTTTGTAACAAATTTATCATAATCTTCCGAATGGATTTAGAAATAGCCGGTCGCGTATTCATGAAGTTGTATTCACCAAAGTTAGAAATAACTGTTACAGCGGATGCATTACAGTAAGCCAGTGGAGCAGTTGATCTGTACAAACTTTCCAATGGTCCACAAAAAGCAATCTCATATATTTCACACACACTGAGTTCGATTGGGAAGAACCACAATCAAATAGGAAAAGTTGGGTTCATGTTCATATTTACAGTTAAAATAATCCCATGAAGTACTGCACGGTTGGGAGTTGGCGTTATACACAGTCCATATGTCTCTTCTGTCAATTCATAATGTAAAAATAGGCATTCCGGTTCTTGCCGCCAGTCGATTAGAGCGGTGGATTACAATGTTACTACAATACACTTTTGAAATCTAATTCAAGAAAACATTGAGTTTTAGGCATGCAAATCTGGTCTTATAGCAAAGGATATGATCACATGATATGATGAGGACTCAATCATTTCATCAATATCAACAGATGATGAGGTTTACAGATTTTCTTTCAAATTCACTCCATAATCCACCATTAGTTGTTAAAATGGTGACAGATGTAACAGAGAATGTTGTTTTGTTACAGCAACTCATACAATGCCTCCAAAGTGGTTAGTCAATTAGTTCAGAAAATGAAAGGTTAAAACAGTTTTTTTTGCTTCAATAATTTACTCACCAAGGTTGACGGATGTTTGATGGTAACAAACAGTGTAGTGATTTCAACGGTTTCAGTTACACTCAGATTATCCTGATATTAGTCATATGAAGTCCGTGGCTTGCCGTTATGTTTAGTGGCCAAGAATGGGCATTTAAGTCGAAAATCTTATTTCAAACGTGCACAAATTGTGCAATGATAGCAAAAATTCCCATTACATCTGAACTGTACTCATGGCTCAAGGCTGACAAACCATGTTCCTGGGCCCACCTTGATTTTGCGAACTCACCGAACAGATTGACCTATTTATTAGCCGTCGATGCACATTCAAAGTGGTCAGAAGTTTTTCCCATACAAATAGCTACAACGTCAGCAACCATTTCTCATCTTCGACGATTATTCGCTCCTTATGGTGTTCCGGAAAATTTAATAACGGACGATGGAGTTCCAAGCATACTATGTCATCAGCGACATTCTTTCATGTATTCATGCTAGTTTATCACCCACAGTCTGAGATCCAAGTGAAAGTGGAAATTTGAGAGAGTCGTACATAAACTGGAAGGAGAAGGTAAAGTAAAGGAAATGATTGATCTTTTTCTGACAGCCTACCGTTCGACAGATGACCCAGCGATACCGAAACAGCATTCACTGGCTAAGACATTTCTAAGACGAGAGTTAAGACTTCCAATTGACGTTATGCGGCCAAGGATCAATTCATTGGAGACCAATAAGTTGACGGCAGCGCCGTTCGACAGACATTATGGAGCACGCCCCAGATATTTCTGACCTGGAATCTGAGTGCAGAATATGCTTCACACTGGGGAATTTCGGCTACCAGGCATAATTGTCAGTAGTAACGGTAATGTTGTCTACCGAAATTTCATATGGACACGTCATACCAATCACTTGAGACAGCGAGCTGAGGATGGCCAAGGATGTCAACGGACCAACGAGCAACTACTCATTGACATACTCGTTAACACAAATAAACCAAACACCTCCAGTTACCTCAAACCTTTTTGATCTTTGCAGATCTAATCTGGTTCATCAATCACTCAGATGTTTAAGTCTTGACCTCGGAAAACATTCTTATGACACATGATTAGCCCGCTTTTGTTGATAAGGTAGATGTTGTGGCTGCGTTCCCACTGTTGCAGATGGTTGATATCATTGTATCCTATCGCCGACTTATTTTTCTTACCAGCCGTTAGTGGTCTGGTCAAATTAGATCAATAGATTTCTGATTTCTGACTGGTTGTTTGTCAGACTGGTCATATTTATAGTTAACATGACATTCGTTTTGGTCACCTACTGTCTGGCAGAAATCCGGTGTACTCCCTCATTCCTCAGATTCTGCGCCGCTCGTAGGGTTATAACGTCAACAGCCTGGCCGGGAGTCTTCAGATCCATTAGCGTTGATGCAGTCAACGAGAACGATTATCTGTTCTGGACAGTTCTGCCAATGCTGATTGGATAAAATCGTTTTCTCGAGGAAGGGGGCGACTTTGGACGCTAAAATTTCCCTCATCATTCCGTACTTATTTTATTGCTGCTGCTGCCAAGCGGGCTACGTTGGAAAAACCACTCAGTGATTGTCAGACAGAACCCGTGAGCACCTTTCTCTACTGACTACAGTCTCTCTATAAGAAACAGCACCTTCTAATCTCTGTGTGAGTTAATATAACCCAATGCATAGCTTGTGATCTGTGGTAGTGACCCATCCTAAATTCACAATCGGATGTTTTACAGAGGTTATCTAGATGAGATAGTGGTGAAACTTCGTTCATGATATCCAACCCGCGGGTTCGGTTTATTAGATAGCGACAGACGTTTTCTCTGTATAAAACACTCCTCACGAAGAATCACCGCATTTGAAGACCAAGAGAGTGATGGAGGCTTTACTGCTTCTGATTCGACGGACTTACCACATGTACTTACTAGAACAGCATCTTCAATCTGGAGTTGGTACATCCGAGTTATCTAGTTTACGGACATTTGTTCAACACTCTCTATTACCGCGTGCGACAGGCACCGAATCGTGTTTAAAAAGCTTCCACAAGATCCAGTGTATTTGAGTTTGTTCTGTGTATGGTTGGCCCTTATTTCAGGTACTCTAACACACAACCTAGATCGTTCAGGGTACAATACAACCCAAAAACCATACTAACGAAATCGCAAGATAAATTGTGCAGCTTCATACTTATGAATTGAGGCCAGTTGCTGGATTATACAACCGATCAATTGATAGCCCCTCGACTGCAAAGACCCGGGTTCATCTTTATGGACACTTAATCAAATAAAGAACGCAATTCTAAACTAGCCTGGTTGCATTTGATTTACCATATACCTTAAACGGTGCTAGGTGGCAGACATTTGGGTTCAAACCTAACTTCTCGGCGGATTTCTGGTCAATGATTGTCAAGTCGCAGCTGTTTAGCAAAAGAAGCAAGCATCCACCACACGTCTGGCCAAACTAGTCAGATTAGAACGAACCCAAAACGAATATTCCGCAAATTTGTTAGCACACACGCGCGATCCGTACTTTCTGAGTTTCGGACATGCCGATACGTTGTAGTTTGTGTTTGTGCATTGTAGTTTACTGTCGTCATCCACCAAGCACTGAATGCATTTTCGGCATGATTCGGTCGCAAATCTCGTTACTGAGTAGGAGAAGCAACAATTATGGTCACTCAGCGTGTTTTTGCGTTCGTCTAACGACCGCTACACTAGATTCGCGGACGTCCCGGTGAGCCATAAACCCTGACGCACAAACAGCGTCTGGCTACACAACTGGTTTATGAATGTGAGACAGACAGGTGCAAACCTTCCCGCGTTCTCCTGGTGCTTGAGGTGCGGAGGGCTCGGCGGTTTGGCAACAAAATAATCCGGACGGTCCTGATTGGCTGCAGTCATTTCAGTTCGGCTGATGAACGCATTTCCACGGCGTGCTGTCGATTGCGAACTGCTAGCCCGTGGTCTGCAATCACCACATCTTCTGAAAGGATGTTGTGACACAACTGACGCCCTAGCATACTACCGCCAATACGCAGGTCAGTTCCAGACAAACTAAACAAAGGGCACTTAGTTATTCAGAAGATGAATCCATTGACAACACAAATGCACTGGTATCCAATGGGTTCACTGAGCCCTGCGCAACGGAAAACAATTACGATGCGTGTCCCGTTGATGTAAAATCGAGACTCTGTGACCTGAGAGCTATATACACCTGCAGCGCGTGCACGCTGACTTCTGAAGTCCGTTTCTAAGCCGTGTTTATCGACACCTACTCAGAATGACGTCCGACCATCCTGGAAAGCATGTCGACCGTGTCCTTTCGTAATTCAAACGTTGAAGAAGGGATTCAAGCGCAACGGCATTTCAGATATACTCATCACAGATAACGGGTCACAGTTCTACGTGACGAAGAGGACGTCCTGGCTCGGTCACATTGGTGGCTGACATCTCCTGGTAGAACAGGGCTATTCCTGTTACAACGGTACTACAGAGAATTCGGTTCGCACAGTTATACGTGCAATTACATCTGCAAGTCCGAAACCGCTGCCGAGGCAAGAAACGTTTTTGGGGAGCAACACATGCCGCTACTACATAACGTTCAGCGAGGTCGCTCAGATAATCTGAGATCGATCCTTTGGAGTAACGTTCATCTGAGGCAGTCGTCTTTGTCCAGCTCATGCAATCATCATCCGGGAAACTTGGCCGTTCAATGGCTTAAATAACTGATCTCAACGATGTCGATATACGTCGACGTCATCTCAGCCAAAATCACCTTCGGACCGCACCGGATAGTGGCGCGACCTCTGAAATATCGAGCTTAAGTCGTCCAAACAGATCAGCGAGTAAAGCACTTGAGGAACCCAAGTGGAACTGCAATATCCTCTGATCCAAAAGACAATTAGTAAGATAGTTCGTGTATTGTAATGAGTAGTTGTGAATTAAGAGGCTAGATGCAGTTAAACAGCAATGGTATATTGTGGCAAGTGTACGTAAGAAGTGCAACAACTGTACTGTGAGACCGTGGACTGTACAGTGGCAACATGCAAACGTAAGCAGACAGTGTGACTGATGGGTAACCGAGTCCAATCGTGAAGTTTCCAAGCTCCTGGTGTGGCTTCGCAGCTCAACTGGTAGAGCACTTGCCACGTTGAGGTATGGTGTTTCTGCCGCTGGCTCGAATCCAGCCGAAGCCCTCATTTTTCACAGCTGGGTCTCATCTAAAATGATATATCTGTCAAATATTTATTAGTAAAGCTCACCTGTCCAATCATGAAGGTCACATGATCCGATTCAGCCAGATCTGAACGAGGACACAGTTTTGAGCGCACTCGGGTGCTCTGAGTGGTGAATCATGCAAACGGACATGCATACGTCTGCTTGCACGCACTTAGCAGGACATACAGGATACATCCACCTCAGTGCGAATATCTTTCCGGCAAGGTAGCTAAATTGGTGAGGCTGTCACAAAGTGGAAGAGTTGAAACAATCCGAACTTCCTGGACGGCCGTTTCCAGACCAGGGATGGTCATAGTTTCAGACCTATCAATTGGAAGGGCGACACTACAGCCAATCATGACTAGCCTAATTACCCTGATGGCATTCGGCTAGCAACCGTCAATCAGGGATGCCCCGCGCCAGTCATGCACACATGAAAAGATCATGGGTATGTATAGCACAGTTCCACCTCGTTCAGCCACCTACTTCACATATCACTATTTATAAAATTGATTCGAGTCAGAAATGAACCAACTGTATCCACAGCTTCCGTTTCAACTATGTTGCAGCTAGCCTTGAGTTCGAACTAGTTCATAATTTGCTGTTAATTCAATGAGGTCAAACACAACGATGAAGCTCTTGAAAAATGTTAACGAAACAAACTTCCCGCCAATCAGGCGTTATGAAAGTCATGAGTTCACTCACGCATCCGTCTGTGTAATAAGTTACACGGTAGACGTTATAGAAAGCTCGGATCAATAAGGTGGTGACGATAGAGGACCCTCCAATGTTGTTGTGCTTTAGTTCGGATTTTATGATGTACTTTCCTTGTATGGATTAAATCTAATTCACGTCACGTGCTCCCTGTGTCGATCTACCACTATTCGTGTTCACTTTCATTACCGAGTTAGCGAAGCTGATTGGAATCCAACCGTTTGTATTTTAGGTCATCCGAATGTGTCGGTATGTTGCATTCACCAGTCAAGTCAAACCATGAAACTGTGTTGACCACACTAGCAGACAAAAAAGCATGCTCACGTGCAAGTAATTGGTAGGCAGTAGTTAGAATGAATCATCCGCACAAATTGCATTCAAATGGTCTGCAAAATGTCCGGATTAGTAGGAAAACATGGGAAGGAAAGGACAACCGAGGAATAGCGCATATCTATAGATCCGAAGTAAGGTCTTGATAGTAATGCGGAGATATATTTAGATAATTCGGAAAGAACAGACCGACCGGACTCTGACATTAGTTTGAAGTGTTGAAACACAATGAAGTCGATAAGATTAGAGGGTGGCATATGACTTTCATTAGAAAAATGTTCCAATTAGTTAAGAAGAACCTGAAAACATGTGCTTCGAAATTATCATCAAATAAGCAGTAGTGTGGTAGTACTAGCATAAAGACAGTCGTTTGCAGACCAAAACAAGCTATACTTTCGACCCCATCAATCGTAACAGCACTACTATAACCAAACATGAATGTACTGATTTCCCCGTTGCTGTCGGTCTATTAACTGCAAACCAGGAGAGCCTTTCTAGATTCACACAACTGGAGAACAGAATGTAATTGGTACAACACTGTGTTACGTCGTCTGGTCAATTGCTTTTTGTATTGCTACTTGTAAAAGTACTCGCGGCTCAGAACGAGGTTGTTACTCTATCCACAGCCCAGGGTCTCATATTTCTATTGAGTCGAGGTTAGCGCTGAACTCAAGCCAGTTCTTTACTTGCTATTAGCCCCACGAGTTATACCACTGAAGCTTACTTCTCTCTTTGCCTACCGTTTATTTTTCGAGTGTATTAACGTTGTGTTATATATTTATTGTTATTCTCGCGAAATATGTGTTTGGTTTTGATAACATTCCATGGGAACACTAGTTGTCGGTTGGAACCTGTTATGGAAATTCGCGAAATTTTCCACTTTCTGACCCATTCTCAGTTGGTTAATCACCCTTCCTGTTGGAGTGACCGAGAAAGCTGCTTGGTCTGGGAACATGCCTACTTCACAACAATTGTTCCAAGGTATATGAAACTACAGATCAACGAAAACAAACACTGTTTTACACGGCTACCGTGTATTCATATTTTTGACAGCAGTATAGCCGCATTCCCTCTGATGACATATATACGCTTTCAATGGTGACTTCTAGTCTTTGGTCTTCCTGGCATTGAGACATACCCTTTAGTTTACTCCCACCGAGTCGGGCAACACTACTCACAAGCGAAGCGTCATGTTGTGCCGAAAATATGATGAAGAGGAAGGTATGTCAAAAGCTGGAAACTTACTCTTCGGAGTTATTGTTACATAATGCTGAATTGACCCGGTTTTCACTAAGACCACTGAATACTGACTTATCGTTTACACTGCTGGATGTCTCAGATGAGTAGTCGACGACCTGGACATTAAAACCTAAGTAACGCTCACAGTAGCTTACACTGTTTTCATTTACAGGTTTTATGTTAGTTCCGACATAACGTTGTTTTTCTTCGAGGTCACTGACTGGAGTTGGTAGAACAGTTCTTGGATCTCCTGATTTAAAGATTAGATGACCCAAGACGTACTCAAAAGAGGATGTGGTTTAGCACTAGAGGTATAATATTTTCAGCCTTCTTAATATGAGGCAAGCGGTGCAATGACCAGCACGATTGCCCTACAGAAACATAATTTGAAGTTCGAATCTTGTTTGTGGAATGGATATGCGCCACCAAAAAGTCTTAACAGACCGAAACTCGAGCCTGGTGATTTCTTTCAGCAGAGGCTAGCCTAAAATATTTAGCCATAAATCAAAAGAACCTGATCATTGCACCCTACTAGGTGCTTTCGTGGGTTACGTCACTCAAATACGGCAAACCGATTCCCTACGTGATGTTTTGCAACAGGTAACTGACGAGTAACTCAATTTAAGTCAATATACATATGACTTGAATGTTAGTAGTGAGAAACATTAATGGCCTTATATCTGACTGATCTACACTTTATATCTTGTAAACATATTGATTGGATAAACCATTAATATCATTCGCTTGATTTACCCAAAAAACAGTTTATAAATCACACTTCTTTAATCCGGATGGAAATGCCAAATTTTGTAACATGTTGGAATTTATTACCCATACAGTTGCCACAGTACAAACACAACACTTAATTACAGTTTTATTAATACATATCGACCTTCATCGGTTGTCCATTTCGATTCGTTGTGTCTTGAAAAATATTTCGCTATATTTCGTTTTATTTTTTTCCAAAACAACGGGTAATAAACAAACAGTGATTGCATGCGTAACATTTTTCTGTTGACTGTTGTCAACAAAATTTTGTTTTCAATGTCGTTGTTGAATATCCGGCGACGCTGACAACCGCTTGTTTAACCTTGAGATGTCATTTTCAGGCTCGTTAGCTGAGTTTGACAATTACCGTTCACAAGTTCAACACAAAAATTGGACAGTGATAGATGTTGTATGTTCTTGTCACACACTCCTATGAATAAATTCGAACGATGAACCATACAGAAAATTACATACATGTTAAGTTTTTCTAACGCGGAAGGAGATTTTTGTTACGCGCAAAATATACTTAGCACGACAATTATAAAATCTGACGTCAAACAAGGTGGCTAATTTCTACTCCACCTGTTGACTAATAGCTGCAATGGACGGCATGTTAACCGAAACAACACAGAAACAGTTCAAAATATCAAGGCTCATGTCCGCCGGCATAACAATAGTATTTGAGTTCGGTGAGACTAATTCAGTCTTCAACACTATATAAATAAAATTGCATAATAAAGTTTTTCAAACGAAAATTCACATGATATAGATGAGCATTAGTAATCATTCTCATTTACCCAATACTGAATTTCGGTTTTGTCATTTTGCGTTCGTTTAACAAATTTCTAGCGCTCTGTTTAAATCTACCCAATGTCATTGATTCGTTAAGGACGGACATTCAATGTGTCATAGAAAAATTTTGCATTTGTTCGAAAACCGTTTAGAGGTAGACAGAAGAGAAACAGCTACGCGTATTGTTTATAAAAGCAAGGTAGATAATATGTCAGAATATCATTCAATTGTGACCTAAATGAAGCATAACGTTGATAAATAGACTTTCTAGTCACATAAAATATCAATAGCGGGCAATTCAGTCAGAAATATAACTCCGGATTTTCCAGTATCGATGTTGAGTCTGGTAATTTTCAAAATGGTGACAGCGAAGGTTATAACTCGGTGTTGTTCAGTAGAACAATAAAAACGTATGTATCACAATATGTCGATAATTTGATTAACTCTCATAGACACTTACTAAAAAGTTATCTAGGTACTAGCCAACAATCATCTTGGTGTTCAAAATAACTTCAAAGTCAACTTTGTGTTGATCAGCATTAACTTAGGAGAAAAGTTAATCAACGGCAAACATTAAGTACCTCTTTGGGGTGGATATTTAGTCTATGCACGTTGAAGACAATTACCAACCGGTCGACATTGAAATATCGCGTATGAGAGGAATACTTTAAACACACAGATATTAAATTCCCTATCCCGGCAATTCTAATGAACACGAATTTGTTGGTTTGGTTTGTTAAGCTAATCAGTTTTATTTACCACAGTTGATCAGCACATTATGTAGAAGACAAATGTGGGTTTATGAATTCGGAAATCGATATCTGCATAAGTTCATAAACTATGCACTCTAATTACGTTGAATACCAAATTATCGACAAAAGTCTACAAGACACAATTTATTTTTCTGTGATATCATATTAATCAAAAATATCCCAGAGTCAATTCTCTTTGATTAATCTAGAACCCTTGTTCTTGTATGTAGAAAAACTATTCGATTCGAATTTAAAAACACCGATTTGGACCGATAGGTATTGTAGTAACGGGAAGCCTTATGGGCTGCACTTTAGCAGTTAGTTTATCGGAATGTCTAAAAATCAGGTCTTTCTACAACATCGTCGTGAATGAATTTTACAAA